CCCCCCCCCCCCCAGTTTGTTGGGCAAACAAAGTCAGTCGGGCAATATTCGCTCCACAGTCTGGCAATATTGGCTTATTATAAAAATAAATGGGACAAATTCTGTCAATTTTGTGGGAAATTCCGTCAATTTTGTGGTCAATTTTGTGATGTGTTGAAAATTTGTCTGATGTTCCGAAAAATTTTTGTATGTCCGAAAAATTTTTGGAGGGGGGGGGGAGGTCGCCAAAATTAATATGTTACGGAAAAATTTTTTTCGGCACTGGTCGGGCACAATCCGAAAAAGTCAGGCAAATTTCTTTCCGCCCCCCTAATTTTTTCCTTCCGGTACGCCCATGATTAAACATTAATTTCTTTTGTTTTCGGTTTACAAATTATTAATGAGTTTGAGAATACAATTTCTCTGTCTCTGAGCATGTTCAGCCAAACCACATGCCAACTAACAATTAAAAATAACTGAAAATAATTTCGAAGTCATCCTTCTTTTATGCGCGAATCAAATCGAAACCTTGACATTTCCCCCCCCCCGGGCATACCCCCGGGTATTTGGATTTTGACGTTTTGGTCAGGTCAAATTCCCTACATATATTTGTAATTCCCGTTCAAATACACCACGTATTGGGAAAAATTGGAGTTCAAATATCCCACCCCATGTACGAATTGGAAGCTACAGCATTTCGCAATTTTGGAATTTCAAAGTTTTTCTTTCCTTCAAAAACTCTCTTCAATCGTTCAAAGCCGTTTTCTTGTAGCCAACCAAGGACAAAGTTAATTCCTTTGCACTTGAAGACCTTGAACTCATCCATTAATGATTGACGCCATTTTGGATTCTGCACACGTGTTTAAAAGAAAAATTCAAATTCCCGACCCCCTTCAAATTCCCCACCTTCCACTAGAAAAAAAGGTCAAATTCCCGCCTTCTTAAAATACTAAACAAGCAAATTCCCCAAGTATGCCCGGGGGGGGATGTCAAGGTTTCGATTTGATTCGCGCATTATAGCTTAGTGAAAATCTGCTAAGTTTTGACAGTTTTGTCTTTAGTTAAAATAAGGGGCCGATTACGTGGAGGCAAGCCCGTAGCTGGCTCTGAATTTCTGGGGGGGCACTCATTGCAGAAAGAATGTAACCGACGGTTTGAGTTGAAAAAAAATTTTTTCCGAAATTTATTTTGGCGACCAAACCCCCCACCCCACCCCACCCCACCCCCCCGTCGCCAAAAAAATTTCGGTCAGTGTACCATTTTAGGGGTCAAAAATTTTTTCCGGACATAACAATTTTTCCAAAACCTAACAAAATTTTACAAAAATCACTAAATTTTCCACAAAATTTACAGAATTTTTTCCATGATTACAATTGGTTCCCAGGCCCTTTATCTAAATTTTTCATACCCGATTTCCGAGTGGGGGGGGGGGCACTGGGGGGCACTGGCCCACCGAGTGAGGGGGCATTGCCCCCCC